AAAATAAATAAAAATAAAAGAGATTGAGGACATTGGTCAAGGGTAGAGCACTTGCCAAGCATGCATAAGGCCCTGAGTTCAATTCTGGTACCACCAAAGCAAGTATCTTTAGCTACCATACTACATTACATTATTAAAATACAGTAATACCCTATATAGCTTTCATTAGCTTGAAAAACTAAAAAGATAGAACTATATTTTTCTATATAATTTGTTTTCTTTTTTAGTCCATAGCATTTTTCAAAATATGTAACATGAAAATAAACTTAGACTTTTCTGATAAAAAGTACGTTTGATGTCCCTGATTGGTTTGCCAGTGAGCACACCGGCACTGCTGGTCCTATTAGAAGGATGTCTTTCTCCATAGGTTAAAATTAACATTTCTGTTTCTCCTGCCCCTTCTGATGACATGGATTTAATGCGTCCCTCTGTACAACACACTAGAGGAGAAAAGACAGATACAACTCACTAATAATGGACAAGCTCTGTGACTGTCCTTTGCCTGGATTACAATATTTCTTCAAAATCAAAGTATAATCCCCCAGAAGTCTGGTGAGCAATCCTTTTGCTTCCTGCTGGTTTCTAGTTCTCTCCTTCTGACAAAGCTAAACTGTCAGCTGGTAAATCAAAACATAATTTACGTGCTAGATCACTGTGATTCATAGCTTCTAGCTTAGGGTTCAAACAGAGGAGTGCTCCCTGCATGTGAACCCTTCATATCCCTTTTATTTTACATATGAATGAAAAATTATAGGGCTGCTATCTAGTACTGCAAGTTAATAGGCTTCCAGGGTCTCCAAAATGTTGAAGAGACTCTGGAACATAAAATGTAATTTTATATATACAACAGTACACTATAACAAAATAATTAAGGCTTTCAAGAGAAATGATGGAGTTTTCTTGTGAAATCCACACCCAGTGCCAGACCTCACTGTCCTGCCCTGGCACAGTTCAAATGCCAGCCATGGTAACGCAATCACCACATTTTCTTCCAGATGTGACTACACTGCAAAATAGCAGATTTAGGCAAAACAGATTCAACCCCCTCTGTGATGCTGTGGGTGGGCCTTTTCCAATCAGTTGAAGGCCTGAAAGGCTGGGGTTTCCCAGAAAGCAGCTCTTTTTCCTTCGGGCTGGCGCCATCCACTCTTGCCCAAGTCCCTAGCCTGCTGGCTGCTCTACTTCTTGAACATGAGAACCATCAGTGCCCACAATGACATCAAATTCCTTAAAATAAACCTGCCCATCTCCCTGCAGCCATCCTATTGGTTCTGTTCTGCCGAAGGACCTGGCTGACTCATCTGGGACGGACACTGCCAGGACCGCAGCTTTGCACCGTCACATGTGACTGATAACTTCTACTGACACTCAAATTTGAATATGTAGTGTACGTTTTTAGCCTCTCAATGACAGGGGCTGCTGACAACTAATCACTCAGATGCTGGTAAAATAGGCAGTGGTGGCAGAGGCTGAGAAGTGGGTGAACTGGGCAGAACCAAGCTCAGCAAGCGACACCCCAGGGACAGAAGCGAGACAGGGATGAGGCAGGACAACCGCTATGAAGGAAACCAAGTACTTAGTCGGCTGATCGACTCCAAATGAGCTTCCCCTGTCCCCCGCAATCTCAGAAGCCGTGATATCCCTGGCTCTTGCAGGATCCTCTCGCTCAGCCTGTCACAGCTGAACAGGCTGCCCTCCTCTCCCGCACCGCCTAGCTTTTATCAAATGCAATCTGTGTTTCTAAACAATGACGGCTCAGAGGTTGGGTGGAAATTTTTTATTGCTACAGATAATCTCTTTATGAATAATTGAGTGTTGACTACACAAGCAACTTGATAGTTTAGCAATCATTTTCTAATTCTACTTTATGGTTTCTTTGCCTACTTTGGACACAGGCACTGGTAAATTAAATTGGACATCCTCACTGTAAATAGGAAAGCTTGGGAAATACATGCAGGCATGAAATATTCATGAGGGCTCAATTCCCTAGAAATTTATAAGCAGTTCCCTTTCCTATGTGTTACAGAATTGAAATCTCAATTATACAAAAGCAGCTAATATAAGACAGGAATATGAGGCCAGGTAATCACAGTTACAGTCATAACACAGAAAGCATCACCATGAAATAAAAATTATGAGGCCTTAAAAGAAATTTGTTTCCTGAATAGAAAATTCAAGTACAAAATAAAATAGCATATTGGTTGCAAAACTATATTCTAATAGCATGAATGCAAAAGGCTACTGGCTGCATAAGCGTGTTCTCTCTCCACTGACCTGTTCAGGCTGACTTACTTTTTGAAAGATCAAGGGTGTTCGAGTTCCAGGCACTCTCCTCTGATCTTGTTCTAACAGTATGGTCAGTGGGACACCAAAGAGACCAGAATCTGTAATGAGAAAACAGAATTGCTTCACTTGCATTATGAAGAAAAAAGAAAAACATGTAAGATTCCTGACACTGTCACTACATTAGACAAGTCTTTATTGAGCATCAACCAGGGAAATGACAGCGTCCAGCCACGAGGCATATGCAGGTCATTGACAACAGCCTGACCCTGCCTCACACAGCAGGCTGGCAGCGGAGGACTACTAACCACATGATGAAGAGCATCCCTGAAATAATTATAAAAGGAAAACTGCTACCTAAGAAAAATAGATGGCTGTGAAATATGAGATATGAAACATATGAACTATTCAAGCATACACTAAGGGCAACAAATCCAAAGTTCTGGCTTAACATAAAAAATCACTCATGTTTTCCATACAAAACTGGCATTTAACCTTCTACAATAAAGCTGATTATTAATACTTGTTTTCTGCAGAATTGACCCACATTGGGACCCTGCTCTACAACTGTTTCTCTGGAGAAAGTACCTATTAGGCACGTGGTCATCTTGAATATAAATTTACAACTTTATGCATTTGGAAATAGGTCCACAGAAATGAGAGATGATGCTTATAATTTGTTTAAACTAATGCCACAGGCCTTCAGGGTAGTGTGCAGCAGAGCTTCTGAGAACCTCCACACCTCTCCCGGAGTCTCGTGGCCCAAGGACAGACCCTGGACACTGAGTTGTAGTTCAAAAGAACACCCATGGGACCAGAGATATAGTTCAGTGGCATAAGCTCCTGCCTGGTAAGTGCAAGGTCCTGAGTTCAATCCCCTGTACTAAAGAAAAAAAAAAAAAAGAGAACACCAATAACCCAAGAGATAACTTCCCAGCTTGGGAATTAAGATGTAATCTCAAGAACGCCAAGTATCTATTAAATAACATAAATATCTTAAATAAGATATACAGATTCTTGTCTTCAATGCTGGAAAGAATTTTCACTGCTTCCTTAAAACGCTGATAGCTTTAATAAGAACAGCTTAATATTCCTTCATTGCAAAGGAACTTCAGAACATAACTGAAACAAAAAAAAAAGAGCCCAGCAGAGTAGCACAGGCCTGGAATGCCCGCCCTTCTCTGGGAGGCTGAGGCAAAAAGGTTGCAAATTTGATGCCAGTGTGGGCAACTCAGGAACCAACCAATTAATCAACAATTTTCAATAACTGATTAACTCAGCCAGTCAATAGTGAAAATGGGCAAAGGATGCAACGCTGCCCTCCCTGCGTTCAATATTCAATACTGAGAAAAGAAACAATAAAGAAAAATCTCCCCTAAGCCACTTAAAAAATCTTCACCATTGAATTACAGCTATTTATTTTATTTTATTTTATTTTATTTTATTTTATTTATGTATTCGGAACAGGGTCTCGCTATGCAGCTCAGACTCATAGTAATCCTCCTGTTTTCAGATACCCCAGCACTGGACTACAGGCACGCGCCACCACACCTCCGACTCCGTGGCAGGCTCAGCGAGCCCAGTGGGGCCAGTGCAGTATACGTTGCTAGGGATCAAACCCTAGTCCCTGTGCTGGCCCAAGCAGGCGCTTAATCTGTTGAGCTATCTCACAGCCCTCACAGTAATTTGTATTTCTACACAGTCTCATACCTGGAGAAGTCCCCATGACCGCCATGAGCGTCGAGCCAGCCCCTTGTGTTTTCCCTTCTTCCTTTTTGCATACAGCACTGGGGACTGAACCAGAGCCTTCACACTGAGCGACACCTCCCACCGTTCTTGATTTTGAGACATAGGCTTGCTAAGTCGCTCAGGTAAGACTCAAATTTTCCAGCCTCCCAATTGCTAGGACTGCAGGCACACACTATTTCTGCCTCTGGCTCCAACAAAATATCAGAATCTTTTTTTTCCACAGTGGACTTGGTGAAAACCAGTAAAACCATTTCACTCTGAAGCCCATCACCTCAGGTCTCAATCTCAGACCTGAGCCCGCCCTGAGGCCTTCGGTCCACTGCGACAGGAGACCTGAGCTTTAGCAGGTGAGTGCCTGGCTTCGCAGCGTTACCACAGCAACTCGAGCCCCTCCTTGGCTTCTCTCCAGGAGACCCCTTTTGGTTAAACAAGAGCACAGAGATTCCTAACCAGTGAAGCTTCGTCCTTAGAGAGTTATCTGGACTTCTAGACCAATAAATCCTTAGACACACAGAAGCTGCCGTGGTGTCCACTCTGTCATATTGTAAATGGTTTACTGTGTGTACAGTGGAAAAAGCAAGCTGTTTACAATAGAAAAGGCTGCACGGGTGTAGGAGGCAAGTACTGTAACTGAATGATAACGTGTGTCACAATGGCATTTCTTAGCAGGGGAACGAATGTTTCTACACTGTAATTAAAAATTACAAGTGAACAAAGGGATAGCGCTTAACTGCCTCCTGTGTTTCCATCTAAAAAAGTAAGTAACAACACCCATTTAGGATCCACCACCTTAAGTCACTGTTCTAGATCTGACTTGGAGATAATAAATATGGGCACCAAGTGGACTTTAAATATGCAATTTTCAAAAGACAGAACACAGGAGTTGCGATTCTTGGGTTTCTAACTTCCTTCCATGGGAATAAAATTATTTGATCATGTCTTTCATCCACGGTCAAGGAGGCATTATAACCTTACTGAATCACAAATATTTTGCAGGCAATATTTCAGAATACAAGCTTTCGCTGTAGCAAGGTCTTTGTCTTACGGCACTGCCCTTGCCCACTTTGTCCCCTCAAAAATAACACTAAGAAGCCACACCCATTTTTGCTAGGAATAAATCTATTTTTCATTTCACGGTTACCTCTTGTCTTGATTTTCACAGCTTTCTGTTGTTTCAGTTCAACCCCCAGCACTTCGTAGAGGGCGGTCAGCTCAATCAAGGCTAAGTAGCACACTTTCTTCATATCCTGGGGGGCGAGGTCACCCACCTTTGTGGTGCCCGTTTTATCTTTTGGCAATCTGAAACTCTAAAATAAACACCATTAATATAGAAGACGTTCCCAGAAATTAGAAGCAGACGTGCACCACATGGAGGAAGGGGACAGGAGGAGGTAGGTGATGTGACGAAGATAAACAGGCCAGAGAGGAAAAGGAACAGAAGCTGTGTGACAGGCTTAGAGTGTGCCAGTTAACATTTACATGGCTTAGGGGCCAGGGAGATGGCTCAGTGGAATACGTGCTTCCCTCGCATGCGCAAGGGTCTGAGTTCAATCCCCAGTTCCGTCAACAACAACAACAAAAAATTTACATAGATGATGTATCTTCTGATTATCATAAAAACAAGATGGCTATAGAAGCCCTACAGAGGACCGGGGCTGTAGGTGGCATGGACTTTAGAGCCAACTCATCCAGCCTTGCAGTGACTGTGACACTGGGCAAATGTGTGAGTCTTTCTGTAAAATGGGAGGAGCAAAGGAAGGAGAGCCAGAGGAGCCACCTCACTCAGAGCAGTGTCGGGGGACGCAGCTGCCCGCCACCTCCCCATGGTGCTTGCTGGTGTTCCCTTCACCACTGACCACACTAACATGTACACAGCATCCGAGGTCACCCGCACACGAGCGCGATGTTTGCTGCTGTGTGCCTTTCCCAAGTATCACCCGCTGCCTCTTCCACTTTTTAAACACTAAAAACCTTATGTGTAAGAAAACAAGGCAAAGACATAAATGTGTGTCACGTTTCACACACATTGGAGCCCCCTGTGTGTGCTGACTGAAACAGCGACCATTCTGTGGCAGGCTGCTAAAATCTTGTCACCAAGATCACCTCCCTGGGGGCCACCCTGGATTCCCTCGTTCCATGGCTGAGGACTCCGAGCCGATGCCCTCGTACTCCCCATGTTCTGTGGATCCTTGCGACTTATCTAACATTAACACGTCACAGCCTACATAGTCGCACAAGACACACCCCATGGTGCCAAGGGTGGTCCACAGGCCCTGGCGCTATCCTTCCCACAGCGTCCAAGAGGTCAAAATGCAACAAGACTGAGGCATTGCTCTGCCTCTTAGACTTTCATGATTTACACTGTGAATGAATGACTTGTGCTGTGACACCAGGCCGAAGGCAGGACACGGCCGGACATTCAAGACATAAAAACTAAAGCCATGCCGTACCTCTCAAGGTTTAGCTTTAGAAAATACAGCTAGTTCTTTATGGCAAGGGCATTTATGTCAACAATAACAAGTTCTTTAAACAAATTAATACTTTTAAAAATTTCTCCCAAACCTTTAGTCCTTTCCCATTTGAAGAGCTCTACTTTCATCATTTGTCCCTTCAATTCTTTTTTCCCATCTCCCTTCCTTCCCCCCACCCGGGTTCCCCCACACATTTGAAAAAGGTTTCTAGGGGCACAGAAGGAGGGAAGAGTAGGGGTGAAAAACAAAAATAAATGAGGAATAATTAAAGTACGCTATATACATGTCCCGACAGATAGTGATAGCGGTTTTCATTATGTACTGCAAGCAGGCATGCATTAATAAAATAATCAGAATATTTTTTTTAAAAGTCTCTATGTTCACAGAATTCCTAAAATCAAAAACAAAAGCTTTTGGTATTTGAGCAGCCAACTCCCTTCAAGCAAACAGCGCCAAGAGAATGCCTCTCAGTTCACTGTGAAAGGTTTTCTTTGGTTTGGTTCTGTTTTGAACTCTGGCTTGTACATTTAGATTTCCCGTGAGAACGTGTGGTTATACTGCAGGGCACCACAGGGGGCGCCCGAGGGAATGTCCAGCAGGGCCTCCAGGGGACACCGGGCCGGTTCTGCCTCCATTACTCACTGGCAGAGGACACCACTGGGCTCCTTCAGCCGTAGAGTGGGCCAGCACTGGCCCTTACTTCAGAAGATTTGGAGAAGGATGGGTGGCACATGGCGGTAAGCAGCACAACGTGAGAAGCATTCTTACTGCACGTTTTTCACAGAACTCTTTAAATACTTTCAGCTCTCATGGTTTTCCTTTTCTTCAAAATATGTTTTTAAAAAATGATAAGATAATGCTTATGCTGGATAACACTATATGCTGCCAAAATCCAAAAAGGCAAGATTTACTACGGCACATTTCAGTTGGGAAAACAGGCTCAGCAACAAGACGTAGCCCTGGCCATAGCCAGTGACATGCTTGAGATTCAAACTCAGACTGCCTTCATCCCAGACCCAGTAGAAAACCTACTCCATGTCCCCCACCTACAGAGCACACAGGCAGAGACTTCCCTGCCTGCCTAGTAGATATATATGCATTGATACAGGGCTAGGAGTCCCTCAAAATCAAACCTAATCTGGGTGGGCCAGGGACTCTGCTCAGCAGTACAGCATCCGCATGGCAAGCTCAAGGCCCTGAGTTGCATTCTCTGTACCAAAACAAGAAAAAAAAAAAAAAACCTGGCTGTGGTGGTGTACCCCAAAACCAGCCTGCGCCACGCAGTGAGATCTGGTCCCAAAAACCAAACAAAAAGGTCAGGGGTTACAGCCCAGTCACTTCTGCCCCTGCTGCAGCTGCAGCCTGCTGGAGGCATAAAGAAACACATTCCTCCAGAAAACAGCTTAGAATCATACTTTCCGGGTGTTCCTGACGTCCTCCTGATTTTTTGTGATCTTACTGAGTTTACTTTGAAGAACCACGCAACCCTTGTCACATTTTTTTTGTGCTTGGCCCTATACATCTGTTAAGAGTTTTGTTTTCTGAAGAGCAGGACCAACCATATTTCCCCACTGATGTACTTTTTCATATTTTGCTGAAATCGGTTGCTTGTGGTTTAATAGGCCGAACACATGCAATGCAATTATTTTAAAGCATTACTCAAGGTAAATGTTTACAGAAACCCAAACTATGATGAAACATTGGATTTACCTGCCAATATATGTTGCAGGATTATTTATTTATTTAAACACCGGGCTTAATGAAGGAGTCAGTTCTTTATCCCAATGTCTAGCACAGAGCAGCCACTTTAAATATGTATGAAGTCTCTCATCGTCTTTTGTTTAGTTAACACATGCAGTGGTTCAGTTCCTCGGCTTGGAGACAACAGCAGAATTTCATGAGGAGAAAAGCTCTTTCTCTTTTAAAAAATGCATTTAAAGGAAAAGGGAAATGAAATATCTTTTTTTACATGATGGGTCCCTTTTCCCCAAGTGCGCGTCAGCTAGGTATCTTGGTCTGCTCCTGGTCCTCTCTCCCAGGCCTTGCAGGGAGAGGGCTGTCAGGCACTTCACCAGAGGTGAGCTCGACTTCGTGGAAACACGTCAGCCCCAGTGAGGAAAGGCGAAGCCTTCGGCGCCTTCGGCAGGCAGCCAAGCCTGAGCATGCTGTGCAGTCTCTCTAATATAAAAAATAAGGATACTAACGTGTACCTCACAGAGAGGATCCCATAAGTGAACAACTGCATGATTTCTGCAGAGCATGGTTTCTGTGTGTGCATGTACAACAGCTCAGTTTTCAAATTAAAGCACACTCAAGGTTATAAAACCAGGCCCCCAAATTTAAGAGGAGCAATTTGAACCCACTCCGAAAGATCATAAAGAATTAACTAGGACTGCTCAACACGCTAAGAAAAAGAAAGTGAATATTAAATGAGGTCACTGGAGAACAGCGTACTGCCTAAAGCCTCTGCTGCTTGACAGAGCCAGGGAAGTGAAGGGTAGAAATGGAACTGATGGTTTCATCTGCTTAGATACTTGCTGCAGAGAAGTGAAGGTGAATATTCACTTCATCAATTGTGTTAATCTAACACATCCATGCTTTTAAGTTTCAAAAGATTGTAGAAACTAAGAGATCCATAAAATTAACACATAGACAGATTGATAATTGTCAAGAGCACACCACTCATAATTTGATGTATGTTGCAAATATTAACCTAAGTTCATATTCAGAAATAGAAATATCATTTTGTTTAGGGTTTTTTTGTATTTTTTTTTTTTTTTTTGGTAAGGGTCTACAGGGTGTTCAGGGTCTCAATACTAGATCAGACTCCTAGTGATCCGCCTGTTTACAGCCTCCCAAGAGCTGGGATTACAGGTGCATGCCACCACGTCCAGTCTCAATTGCAGTCTCAGCGTGCCCTGGGGTGGGGCCAGCACGGCAGGTCCAGGGATCGAATCCGCGGACCCTGCACCTGCTTGCAGGTGCTTTAATCTGCTGAGCTATTTGGCTGGCCCAGAAATATCATTTTGGGACAAATGAACAAATCCAAGACGTTAGTGAACCCAAATTAGTTTGTTAAACAGGGAATAAAACAGTGGAGAAAGTTCTGTCTTTGCAACCTCCCAAGAGGAGATTAATTAGGTTTAATGCCATTGTTTGAGTTCACAAAAGTCAATCATATCTGCACCTTGTTTAATTAGGGCCTACAATTCTCCCGCTGCAAGTGTTTCCATCTCTTGCGATCCCTGAGGACGCATCCTCGGGAGGGTGCGTCATCACTTTGTGTCAAATTCTGCAAACTCCTTTACTTTTCCACTGGGTATTAAGAACAGATTCTTCAAAACATACAAGAAAGCCTGGAAATAACCAAATACCTGCTATCACTGGGCATATAAATTATAATTACAGTGGAGGACAGTGTATCTATAAAAAAGAAAGGAGAGGTTTCTCTCAAAGGTAAGATTTTTCAGGATATACTAAGAAGATAAATAAATAGAGTCAAGTTTAGGAAAATGTGTACAGAGAGACTGCTACCACACTGCTGTAAATAGGCTACCATGTACCTAAGAACTGAAGGATAAACTATAGGACTAAATAAGAAGTTTCCCTCCAGGAGGAGGGATTGAATAAGGCATTCACTCAAAGATAAAAGCTAGATTTATAATATACCCTGTTTCAGACTCGGCATTTAGCTTAGTGGTGTAGCACCTGCCTGACAAGTGTGAGGTCCTAAGTTCGATTCCCAGTACCTCCCCAACACACACACACACATAAACAGACCTTGTTTTGAGATTTGACTTTCGGATCATATAAATATTTTTACACAATTATAAAATGAAGTTATATTGAAATAAAACTGTAAAATCTGAAAGTACAGTGAGGCAAATTAACCCAACCAGGTGTGCAGCTAGTAACTCAGCCCTACAGAGAATTACCACCCTGCACTACAACAATTTGAATATATACAATCCTTGTTGGATGAGCCTTAAAGACATAGACAACTAAAGAAAACAAATAGGCTTCAACCAGCGTCTGGCGTGCATGCTGGGGGTCGTGTCAGCACTGGCACTCTGAGAGCATCCCGCATGAACGTAGGTAAAGCGTACGAGGGCTGCACGGAGTTCTAACTGTGTCACACACCCTCTGCATGGAAGACAGACGACACAGCCTTACTTCTGTCACCCGAAGAGCCTTGAACGTGATTCCCAACCCACAGAATTGTGCGTGTCCACTCTCTTGATCATAGGCACAAAGTGTGGTTCTACTAACTGGGACCAGGGCTCTTGCAGAAGAACGAATTCTAGGATGTGTCGGGGCCACATCCAGTAGATGGGAATTCACAAGTTACGATGATGCTTTTATAAAATAAACAAAACATTAGTACAAATATTTTTTCCCATTGAACTAAGAGAAAATAGCTGTATATCTATCCTATTTTGTGTGTGTGTGTATATACACACACACACACACAAATGTACAGATATATTTTTTTTTTCACTGCAAAATGGTCTTTCATTTATGTCCCCCTTTTTTGTTTACTTTTGTCAGAGATGGGTATTCCATTGCCATTCAAATATTGTAGGTGCGTGAATTCAGCAAAATAATCCAATATAGTCCAGTAGTCCATAAGAAAGATTCGTACTAATAGTGTTTAGACAAACACTATCATGTCTGCATCTTGTACTCTTAACTACTGTGAAGACAACAATATGCAATGTATTAATTATCGTAACTGTCCCACTAATCTGTTTTGAAACTGTCTCACTGCTAGTTTTTTCTCAATAAAATTAATTTTAAAAAAGAATTATATGAGCTAATATTGAAATAGCCATTTTTTCCATTCTATGACATCAATTCTGTTTTTTAAAAAATATAAACCAAATCTCTCTGCATAAAATTTCTCATTAATTAAAATACTATGCAACCAAAATCACTACATATATATACATATGTGTGTGTGTGTGTGTGTGTGTGTGTGTATGTGTGTATAGGTCACAATTTAAAATTGCTAAGAAACCATTTTTAAAATATTTGAAAATTGGTAAATAAAATGGAAAAAATATTTTAGGAAATTTTTCTTGAATAAAATATCTAAATTAATCAATGAAAAAGAGAAGTATCAGATCATTTAAAATCATTAATAAACTTATGAAGAAATAAACTTATGAATCCTGGTATCGATCCTAAGCAGTTGTTAATTTCATCAAACGTGTAACTAGGCACATGAGTGGCCTGAACAGGTCATCCCCTATCTTGACAAGAAAAACAAAGCCTGCATTCAATCCAATGAAAGTCAACCATTCTGTAGAGTCAGAAGATGTTTAATCCCACCATGGGGATCAAGTCATTCAGGGAAAGGAAATTTCTCCACTCTAATAGTCAGGTCTCTTCAACAAATAAAGTTTGAGGGAGGAAGTCCAAAGGATGGAAGGAAAAACAGAAGTAGCAACACAGAGGGAGAAAAAGAGGAAAAAAGAAGAGAAAGAGGCAAGGGAGAAGAGAAGAGAAGAGAAGAGAAGAGAAGAGAAGAGAAGAGAAGAGAAGAGAAGAGAAGAGAAGAGAAGAGAAGAGAAGAGAAGAGAAGAGAAAGGGAAAAACAGAAGGACAAGAGTTTCAGAGGGACGGAAGAGAAAAGGAAGAGGATAGGGAAAGAAAAAAATGAAGAAAGAGAGGAACAATGTTGAAGACAACAACCCATTTCAATATACGGACCTTGTTTGGATCCTGATTGCCAAACTGTACAAAACCATCATGAAATCTGCAGTACAACTGAAGATCTCAACCCTGACTGGGTATTAAAAATTAAGGGCTGAAAAGTATAATGGCGACACCAACACCTGTCTTTAAAATCCTCCCCTTTTTAGCAACACAAATATTCACAGACAAAATGCAATGTGGAGACGTGTTTTGAAATAGCACAGAACAGATACGGATACTGCAGGACTGGCAATGATTTGAGGAATGCTCATCTGAGTGACGATACTTGCATTTCATTTATTATTCTGTTTTACTTCTGTATGTGAAATTCTAAGTATACTTTTGAGATGTAAGGCATTCGGTAGCAACAAGAATGCTCTCTACACAGAGCTTGGATTCTAAATAACAACTCCCTACTACCAGGAATTACAGCCATGAAGACATGGCTGCTCCCAAGGCGGAGAAAATTACAAAGTAAGCCCGGCACACCTCATGTTGGGCAGTGGAGAAGAATGACAAGGGTGGCGTTACGGTGAGGCTGAAACCAGCTGGAAGAGGCTCCTACTGATGATAGCTGTGACCACTCAAACATCAAAGGAAAATGACAATGATTTCTAAAACCCCACATGAAAAAAATACAAAGCTGCCATCCTTTAATATGTTGAAAAACAATTTTAAAAACCATAAAAGGGAAGGAATCCAATTATGACAGAAGAAGGCTAACCAATTAGTGCAGAAGGAATAACAGAATTAGAAAACCACTGTTTTTCAAAACCCGTTTCATTCCTGTTTCAGGGACAGCTCAAGAGGAGGGTGGCTCTGCTATCCATGGTTACTGGTCTTCAGCCAGCTTCTGGGACCACAAGCACGCACTGAATACACACAGAAAGGCATCTTTACAAAGAGACCCAGCAAACGTCTCTTGAGCCAAGTTGAGCACCAAGTGACCCTCACAAGAGTGACCATCTGATCCAGCACCACAACTCTGATAATGCGCACAGAAGCACAAATGCCCCCATGCGATACATTGCCTGCAAATGTTTAACTGCAATCCAGTTACAAGGAAACAACAAGAAAAAAGTCAGAGAATTACTCTAGGTTTTCAAAACTATTAAAGGATTAAAGGGGAGCAAGCTTACTTCAAGGGAAATGCTAGAAGGACGACGCAGCATAAGCTCCTTGTTCCCATCCCAAGTGGGGTAGAGAGAAGGGAGAAGCCACAAGGACAATCTGAGGACAACTAGGAACATTCTAACGCGACTACCTATTCAATGGATCTATCACTTTAGTGCTCAATTTCTTAAGTATTATAAACTGGTTTTCTAGTTATTTTTCTGTTTTGTTTTCATTTGAGGGTCTCTCTCCCTTTCTGTCTCTGTCTCTGTCTGTCTGTCTGTCTGTCTCTCTCCCCTCCTCCCTCTCCCTCCCCCGACCCCAAGAGGATTACTATGTAGTCCAGGCTGGCCTTGAACTCCTAGAAACACTCCCACCTCAGCCTCCTGAGTGCTGGGACTATCAGTCTGAGCTGCTGTTCAATTTCTTTATTTTTTCAGGGGACACTGGATCAAACTCAGAACTCTGCGCTTGGCAGACAGGTGCTTATGCCCCTGAGCTATCTTCCCAGCTCCCTGATGTTCAATTTCTTAAGAAGCTTTTTGTTTCATATGTCCCAATAATCTCCAAGAAAAAGTGAGTGTATATCAGGTAGCAGATCATAGGCAGATGAGAAGACGGAGAAAGAGAAAGGAAAGATCGCAAAACACTAATAACTGTGGGGGCCATCTGTGCAGATCATAGTTTTTTCTATGTTATATATATGGGGTCTAAATTTTCAAAATAAGGAGTTGATTAAAAACACTGTGGATTCCCCTTGCGACACCTGACTACCTACTACGTACAGGCAAGGAGGCATCGTTGCCTCTGTTCCTTTGCATCTTGTCCTTGGCGCTGTCTTTCTGACTGATGGCTTGCTCAGCAAATGACACCTCCAGGTTGATGTCCGTGACAGAGGGAGGCACATCCTCAGGCACAGGTAGGATCAGCTGCTTGTCACCAACAAGGACGCAGGAAGCCTGATCTGGAAGGAAAAAAATCCAAGACCCAACTCATACACTTGCTCTGTGTGTGTGTGTGTGTGTGTGTGTGTGTGTGTGTGTGTGTGTGTTCTAACGTATTACATACCTTTGGGGAGACTAGTATCTTCTCTGGCAATAACTAACTGTGACTTTAGTATGACAGTCAAGGAATCCTACCAATGGAGCATAGGCAGGGGGTACAGAGAGAACCACCAAAAACCCCACGGTTCAGCTGTGGACTCTTGCCTGAGATCACAATTCTTAGACTGAGTCCAAATCCCAAACACTGCTGGAAGGACCAGATTCTTGATGGAGAACCTCAGCATACTGAGCAGAAACGATTGCTTTTATTCTACATTGAGGGCCTGACAGGGAGAGAGGGTCTCTTTTAGCACCTGCAACAGACCATGTGACTTTCTCAGAGTGGAATGGAGTCTTGGAACAAACCTCCTTCTGCAGTGTTACGTACCTATCAGAGCAAAAATTCCAAAACAAAAGTGAATGCCAAAACTCTGCTCTCTGGGGAGTCAGGCCTATAGGCACCTGGTATGGGAACCAAGAAGCCTTCTACCTAATTTGATCAAAGAACATGTAAGTTCTCACAGACAGAAACCCAAACCAAATCAGCTTCAGGTACTTATCAACATTTCAAAGACACCAGTGTAATATATTTCACAGTTTTGATTTCATGTTGTTGCTCTTTGTTTTTCTTCTCAATCTGCCACGAAAGAAACAATATTCAAACATCTCACTGATAAAAAGACCAGCTTTATGCGCTGGTAAAAATACTTCTAAATTTAACTATTTGGTGACATACTGGAGGCACAGCGACTGAAAGTGCTGGTGCTGCAGATCTTTGATTCATAGTAAGAATCTCTAGATTAACAAAAATGAAAGTATACTGCTCATTTGCATACTTACACAATAACATGCTCCTTGAGAGACACAATAAAGTGATGAAGGCAATGCTAATCTAAAAATTTAACAGATACGTGTCATATTCATAGCCTGCTATTTGGGAAATACATATTTATGCTCATTTAATCTATAAAAACGCTCCTTTAATCAAAATGACGTTCTGATGCAAGTCCAGCCTCCCTCACACTGCGTGCCCTGCGGCGTCGCCGAGCTCCCAGCTCCAGGGCCAGCCAAGGCTGCGCGCTCTGCGGTCGCCATCTTGAAAACGACCCCGGACGCAGGCATTTCCGGTTGGCCTGGTCGCGTGGGCCCTCACGGAATCTCACACAGAGAAAGGGAACGTTTACGCGGTCTGTCCCCAAAGGAAGATGTGTAGAACGCACCTGGACACTATTAGTATTATCTGCTACCATCTAGGGTATATTTACGTTTCCTACTGCCTGGTATTTTAAAAAAATTAAAGTATATACTATGATTAATTTTTTTTAAATGTTAACATAAATATCATAGACCATCTTATTTCCCCGCTGGTTTATGCTGTTTATGATTTACTGTGAATCTGTATATTGGTTTCCTAGGAAACTATTCTAAGAGAACAAAAAATGATTAGCCACTTTCTTAAATTAGAAGCTATCTTTAAAAGGAGTCAAAAGTTTGCAGACAAGAATTTAAAAACTACTTTCCTTAAATGGCAGAATATAATAATCACTCTCCTTAACACACACCAAATCAATGCAGACCTTAAAGCCTAGATAGTAATTATAACTAAGTGGGGTACTTACGATATTGGGGCTTCTTCCAAAAACAGTGCAAAAATAAAAACACGTTATATGAAAAGCCTCAGTTCAAATAGTAAATGAAGTCAAGGCAGAGATTAGGGAAAATAAGGGCCAGCCAAATAGCTCAGCAGATTAAAGCCCCTGCAAGCAGGTACAGGGGCCGGGGGTCAATTCCCAGGCCTGCCACACCAGCCCCACCCCCCGGGGTGCACTGAGATGGCAATTCAGACTGGGTGTGGTGGCACGCGCCTGTAATCACACCTCTTGGGAGGATGTAAGCAGGTGGATCACTACAAGTCCAATCTAGTAGTGAGACCCTGAACACCCTGTAGACCCTTCCCTAAAATACAGAAGAGAGAGAGAGAGAGAGAGAGAGAGAGAGAGAGAGAGAGAGAGAGAGAGATAGATTAGGGAAAATAAGCAACAGGAAAGAGTGCTGTTCCAGGAAATGGATGGTTAACGAACCACGCAAAGCAACATATTAATTGTCACAAAGAGAAAACTTCAAAGAGAATGCTGAGGTAAACCATCCACTCCAAAAGTCTTCCAGTGTCAGTATTATAATTTCTTTCATCTGTTTAGTTTTTTTTTTTAAAATTAGCTTTAATTAGCTTTGTTTTAAAATGAACAATAACATCAAGCTTTAGGGATTTTACAAATCTCCCAACATTTTCTAACTGCCCCAAACATGTGGAAATGCCTTAGTTTTTAAAAAGTTTTCTTCTCCTCCCATTGAAACCAGAAACAGACAGACATATCATTGTGAAATTTAATTGTTTTGGCATGACTAATATTTCTAAACAGATACATTAAACCCTGGGCCTTCCAGAGACTGAGTTGGATGATTTGACAAATAGCTGAGATGGCTACATAGTGGTAGATTAATTATAAATGTCACAACAGCTGCAAAATTTAAGCTGCGTAATTTTTAAATTTGAAAAAAAGCACTGTTAAGTCAACATGTTGGAAACCCAAAAGTGGGGAAAACACACTGTCAGCCCAGCCTTCTGATCTCAACCGGAAACGGCTCCACTTTGGAAGCCCAGACCTGCGTCCCCCACAAGCCTTCCAAAGTTTGCGCGAGGCTGTCTGCTCGCTGGCTGGTGACAGTGTGGCAGGGCCAGAACAGGTGCCGAGCTGCACCCGGAAACTTGGATGGCAGCGGACACGTGCTATAATGCTGGCCGGAGGCTCAGTGCCCACTGCTCAGCACTCCAGCAAAAACAGATGCAAATCGGGCAGCAGGGTTGTCACGCTGCCCTTGTCTGCCGCCACCCGGCCAGGAAATGCTCCCAGTGAACTTATTTCCCAGAACTCTATCACTGGGGCCGCCTACATTAAGATCTCTGGCAAGGGGGGAAAATGCAAAGACAGGACAACGTTTTCCTCAGTATCTGTGACACAAGAGCCAGCGACTCGTCCCCAGAGCTCCAAGCATCATCACACTGGCACCAGAGGTCTGGCCGTCTCCTCAGCTCTGGCAATTCACCAGCCGCACTCTTTGCTGGGGTACAGACTTGAAGGAACACTTGGAATTTTATTCTGCTATAATTCATGAGCTACAGAAACTTTCATAGAAGAGTCAGAAAACTCCAGTGCTTCCATAGAAGTACGTGTGTGTGCATATAATTATAAAAAAGAAATTACTTTGGAGGTGCTAAGACTTAAAATTTCCCACACAATCCAGGGCTACGGCATGATTTTTACTGGTAAGATTGGGAACATTCCTAGGTCTGTAGTTTACCTGATGCCCACCTCCCACTTCCAAGCAAATATTAACATTAAAGTCCAAAATGCTAAAATTTAAAAAGATAAATACATTTCATTTTCATTATAGTTTAAGTAACTGAGGACTAAATTGCTATGCTTAAATCAATGACCATAATTTAAAAGTCTTCCTTTTTGTAAACAAATGAAAGAGCTATACTTTTTCTCTTATAAGTACAAATAGGGTCTTACTTATTTTCTTCCTGCTTTGAATTTCCAATTTATTTTGGAAATAAATATTCAAAGAGAAAAAGCTTTAAAAAATAGTAATCAACTGCCCCCATCTTAATTTTCTTAAGTATGCCTAAAATTTTTGAATATTAATCCATTTGAGAATTTCAGAAGAAAGCTTATGCTGCACTTTCTAGCTGCATAATCTCAGAAAAATGAAGTACATTCCTAAAACTCAGTTGTTAGGGGCCAGGGAGAAGGCTCAGTAGAATAAGCATTTCCCTGGTAAGTGCAAGGGCCTGAGTTCAATTCCTGGTTCTGCCCAAAAATACCCCAAAAATCTCAGTTGTCTTATCTGCAAAATGCCCGAAGACCAGAACCTCCTATATAGAGCTGTTCAGTGCATGAAATGACATCAAGAGCTGTTCGTAACCCCTAACACACGATATTTTACCCAGAATGCCATGTATATGGATGGTTGATCACACAGAGACACCCCTGCTCTCCAAGGCCCACCATACACTCAGCTTCATGAAGTGACCCACTGAGGATCTCACATTAGTATTTCAACAGAATTTGCTTATTAACGATGAGCGTCTTAAAGTTGTAATTGTTTATTACACTAGTTAAAGCGGGGGACTGCGTCCAACATACCATCTTTTTCTTGCTCTTTGTTTTCGTTCGTTCGGAGCGGCAGCACTTCAGAGCCATCCGGAGCCTAAACACAGAGAACCAGCCATTTAGTTATCTCCAAGCCACAGCCCGAGAAAATGGTACTGTAAATAATTTCATCACTAACCTTTGGGTACAAAAGAACACGCTCAGACTTATCACATCTACAGTGGGAAAAGAGCACACTAAGACTATAACCAGCAAGCAGTCATTGGACACATCTAAGCTGACCCACAACTGGAAGACAAAACCTTGTGGGAAGCACTGAAAATGTCAAGTGTCCCTGTCATTAAAAACAAGAAACCTCATTATGGGGAAAGGAAAAGCTACTCATATTGAGCAAGTGATAAATGGACAATATGTGGCTTATCTATACAACAGAATATTATTTGGCAATAAAAATGAAATACCGATACAAACTTCATCATGGGTGAGCCACGAAACCACACTGCTGTGTAAAAGGAATAGTCACAAAAGACCACGTAGTTTGTGATTATGCATACTTTATAACTTTTACCATATAAAATGTTCAGGATAGGCAAATTAGAAAGAGTGGATTAGTGGCTGCCTAGGTGTAGGGAGGGGAGCTCGTGGGTGGCTGCATGTGGTTGTGGGCTTTCCAGAGAATGACAGTGTGCCATCACTGACTGTTGTGAGCTGGAAAATGTGACCCACCATACTAAAATCCACTATGCTGCACATTTCATTGGATCAACTTACAGTATGTGGATTATATCTCAACAATGCTGAGAGGAAACACAAAATTGCAAAGCTGAATTAGTTACATGCTGAAGAAAGAAATCCTTTCAATAAAAAAAGTCAGAACTGGGCATGGTGGTGCATGTCTGTAATCCCAGCACTCGGGAGGTGTAGACAGGAGGATCGCTGTGGGTTCAACACCAGCCAGGGGCTATAAAAGCATAAGGCCAGCACAAACTGCATACATAGTGAGACCCTGTCTCAAAAACAAAACCAAAAAAGCAAGTAGTGTGAGATTAAAGTAAAACTAAATTAGTTAATTGAGATGAAGACCTAAAACATTCAGTGGGATTATTTTTGTCAAGGGGCTGGGGCAAGGACACCTGCCTGAGACTGGCCCTCTGGGGTTGGAGAACTTGAGGCAGCATGCTGACACCGCCTACCCACAGGTGCGGCCACACTCGCTTGCTTCCCCCATTCGTGCAAGGCCATACCAAGGGGCGTGACTGAGTGAATTAACTATAGTCATCCTATTGGATGCCATCTCCCGGGTCAGAAACGGCCATCGCAGTTCCACTTTGGGGATGAGCCACAAAGAACACCCAACTCCACCTGCCATCTACAAAAGCCCCAGAGCAGGGACACATACATGCCATTCATGCTCCATTTAGACGCGCGCTGTCCTCAGAACAGGGAACAGCACGTCCCAAGCCCCAGGAGGGCACACGGCTGCACGCCCACCGGCCAGCCTCTGGGCAGACCACGCTTTCTCCTTCCTGCGTCCACAACTCAGCAGAGTGCTGACTTCCGCGGCCCAGCGCACGCAGCAAGACGCTAAACTTGCATGGGAAGCGACGTTTTGGAACGTGCAGTCTCATTTTTGCCTCAGCAACTGAAGATAGCAGGGAAGACGGCATTCACTTCTGCAGGGCACTTCTTAGTGTCAGCAAGGGCTTCATGAGCAAGCATTGAAAACGAGGGCTGGCAACTAGCTCAGCAGATTAAAGTGCCTATTTGGCAGACCCAGGGGCCTGCCATGTAAGCTCCATCCCCAGGGCACGCTGAGACTGCGGTTGAGACTGGGCGTGGTGGCACACGCCTGTAATCCCAGCACTTGGAAGGCTGTAAACAGTAGGATCGCTACAAATCCAGCCTACGTAGTGAGACCTTGTAGACCCTATATTAAATACAGAAGAAAAAAAAAAAGCATTGAAAACGGAAGCGTGAAGGCGCACGCCAGCCGAAGCACTGAGAGTCACGGTGGCTGGGCTCTCTTGCGCGAGGGACTCGGGCTGTAAACAAGTGTGCACTGGCAGCAGGGCTCCAAGTAAAGCCATGCAGTGCAAGCATGTCAACATTATCCTGTCCATGCTAAGTTTTAATGAGCCCATCAGACGACACAATCCACCAACGACCTTGGACTCAAACTCCATATGGCCTAGACATTACCAGGAACGTGTGGGAAAAGGCTGCTTCTAGCATGAGATAGCAGCACTCTCTTGAAGACTGGTGGGAATCCCACGGCCCACGTTCAGCTTAGGCTGCTATGCCTCCTCCCTCGCTCCACTCCCTTTTAGCTCCCTTCGGCCAGGTTCTTTAATTGGGGAGGAAATACTGTAATACGATATTTCCTTTCCATTCATTTTTCTACAGCTGGAAACCTCACGCATTCCCTTGGCACCAAGGAATGTCCCAAATAACCACTGGGTGGCAGGTTCTTAACTCAGACAAGCGCCTGGAGCAATCTAGTGACTCCAGAATTCCCATAAAAGGACTAGACTTGATTTAAAATTGGCCATCCAAATTGAGTAGCAATCTACAGCTACAAAAGACATCTTGGAAGGATGAACCATGTCCCAGAGCAAAAATCCTGCACATGAGAGACACATACTTTAAACACAAATCCTTCCACTCCATATTTTTACAAAGAATCATAAAATTTTTAATTACCCTATTATAGTATAAATAGAATCTCATATGCAGAATGCTTACATCAGAACTGCACATGGAAACAAACATACAGCAGGACAGAAAACAGTGACAGGCATATACTTAAGAGCCAGTCAAATTTGGAGTTAGTGTCTATGGGACATTGAGCCAGTGACTCAAAATCTATACGTCTCAGCCTTAGAACAGAAATGACAATACCTCACTCACAAGCCAGCTGGAGGGATTCAACGAGATAAAGCAGGGAAAGCATCTGGCACTGCCACCATTCTGTGGTGGCGGCAGAGGTTGGCATTGATATTTTTCTTTTTTTGGTGAATTTAGAATTGGGTCTACAGGGTCTCACTACATAGATCGGACTCATAGTGAGTGTCCTGTTTTCAGCCTCCCAGTGCTGGGATTACAGGCGCATGCCACCACACCCAGTCTCAATTGCTGTCTCAACCCGCCTCAGGGGCGGGGCTGGCACGCAGGGATTGAACCCCGACCCCTGCACTCTGCCTAAGTAGGCACTTCAATCCGCTGAGCTATCTGATCAGCCCTTGGCACTGATACTGTTATCCTTACAAATATCGTTCAAGAGCCCCCTTTGTTCCTTTGTACTTTAACTGTTTCTACGAGTATTGTGGGCCGCAGCTACTGGGGCCAACATGCAAATCCACAGTAACCTCAAGAGCACCACTTCATCTCCTCAGCAGCGCGACTCTCTTGGTGTAAGAACAACTGACCTTCTGCACAAAGCCCTGGCTTCCTCACGAATGAGAGATAATTATCACAGGCACCGCCTGCGAGCCAGCAGCGGTGCTCTGAGGCGCTCCGGTCTAACAAGCACCCATCTCCCCGACAGCGCTCCACCCAGCTCCTCGCAGACCCCAACTGCTTCCATTAACATGCTCACCACTGGCACAGCGATTCAGTCAAATGTGCGTGGCCACGTACGGTGCTCAAGCACCAGACACAGACGAACGTATTTCAGGTCTCGGGATCCATCCCTAGTTTGCAATGCAGCTGCCATCAGTGCTCTCGTATTCCACTTTCTCCCCTTCCTGAGTCTGAACACTCAAGTACTCCCATAAGCATGAAGACACACGATAGATCTAGTTCTCACTAACTCCACATCACTAGCAACTGAGGCAGCTCCGTGGCAGTCCGAAAGCCTCGGAAACCTTCCCCTGGTGTCACATCTAATCCCTAAGGACACATCTACCCCCAGCAGCGTGATCACTCTGGAACCTTATTTGCCAGCACCTTGCCCCACTGGTAAACCTCCAGCAGGGCAGGGATCAAATCCCACCGGTTCCCTGAGGGCACCTCTGGGATCCAGATGTCATCAGTGCCTGCTAGGTTTGTAAGGATTTGAATTAAACTGGATGGGCCCAAGCGAGGCTCAGGACTTAATCTGTAGCCTTTATCTTGGAGAAGAAAACTTACTTTTTCTTTTGGTTCTGCCTGTTGAGCAAATATGTCTCTGACGTCAGGAATGTGGTATTGTTTGTTTTTCTTCCTCAAGGTCTGGGAGACCGTCTCCACCCGCCTCTGAACAGCTGCTGCTTGGGTGCGTGTCAGGGTGGACAGGAACACCATGCTTTCCTGGGGGTCCTCGGTGGACTCTCCAAACAGATTGGACAAGCCAGCCTCTTTCAGCCACTCTTCTTCCAGCTCACCCTCTGAAACAGTAGGGAGAAAGAACCCAGCCTTGAAATCACGAACTAGAAGAACGTTCAATTTTTACAAGCTGTTAAAAATTCCTCCTGCAACACATCTGTTGTAACCACACTGCGGTGCGAAGCGTCATTATGTGAAACTTGGAAAACTGCCATCTACTCTGGCCACAGTGCCATCAAATGGTAGGTGATTTCATACATCCTCGATTAAAAATTTTTAAATGACTTCACATGTAATTAACCTCCACAACTTCCCTGCAGATTAACTATGGAGGATGATACTGTTCCCGTCCAGAGACCAGCAAGCAATGAAAAGGTAAGTTGCTGCAGAAGGAATCAGGCTGGGCACACATTCCATGCCAGCATCTCGGTTCGTGTTCAATGTTAGCTGGTGTCCAGCATTCCTTTACGGGAAGGCCTGATTGTTCTGATCGACAGCAAGCGGGGAAAGCAGCCCACAGCAACTGGTCATCAGGAATTATTCAATTTCAAATTAATCTTTCTTATCCCACAGTCAGTGCATCCTTAGCTCATGTCATTATTTAAAAAAAAAAAAAAATTAAAAGAAGCGCCCTATTTTTAAGAGCTGATATGAGAAAATAATTAAATAACTGAATTCATTCAAACTTCTGCAAATAGGAAGTAAGCAGTGATGTGAGTTAGGCCTTCACCTCCTGCAGGCTCTATCTGATGATTTAAACCAACAGACCAAAATGTTCTTTAAAAACGCAGCATCCACACTGAATGCGTATAGGCGCTGTCACCAGTCCTTAAGTCACACGGGGTAACAGCTTCTGAGTGGAGCGCTGACGCTCTTCTGTGTGTATCCAGAGATATCAAGGGGCAACTGTGCTGTTCACGATCTAATGAAAAACTGAACCAGAAGGAGAGCTAGCTAGATGTGACCCAGCCACCATGTTCACAGTGACTTGGGCCACAAAGGCCGGGGAACACCGTGCAGCTGTCACTGTGCAAAGTCCCTTAGTCTCCAGATGACCTCATCTTCTTAACTGTAAGCTAAATGACAGCTATTCCAGCTACGCTGTCACCAAAGTTGAGAGCACCGAGCAAAAGTCACCACAGAGCCCTGCGACAGCCTGCGGTCCTGGCGTGGCCCGGACTGAGCGCTGTGTATCCTTCTACACTGCATGACTTCCTTGATGACAGAAATCAGGTATTAATAACTCCGGCTGCTAGTGTCAGGCAGTCTGTTTCTTGATATAAAAGTAAGATAACTATTATTGTTAGTGTTGTTCAGGTAAAGCGCATTACGGGCACATAAAGCTAAATTGCCAGAGGAAAAAAGTAGCTGAAATTGCTAAGACAAGGAAACAAAGAGACCCATAGAGAGATATTTAGTCCATTTTGACAAACGGAAGTGAGCTCAAACTATATAAGGCTTAAAAAGAAATATGCAGGCGGGAGAACCACATGGGCCACCTGCCCGATGACCACCGCGCACAGCGTAACCCGCTCATTATTCTGTTCACACGGGGTCTCACCGCATAGCCCAGGCTGGCCTCAAACTCCCAGCTTCCTGCGTGCTGGGACTGCAGGCCTGTGCCACCACACCTGCCACCATCATTTTTACTTTAGAGAATTATCAAGCAGCTAGCACCCCACGGCCTAATGCTGCTTTAGTTTACTAAGCAGGGCCCTGCTCTGCTGCTTCCATACGGAAACACCGGACAGAAAGGCTAAGGAGCACTCTTCCTTCCAGGGGACAACCCGCTCGGGCCCCCCTCTGGTCCCTCTCTCAGACAGGAGCTTTCTTTCCCTCAATAAATATATTCTGCTCATAAAAAAATAAATAAATAAAAACACTTTTCCTTATCATAAATAGGTTGCTGTTACTACTAAGGAATTTAGGGGAAAAAAGAGAAAGTTGAATATCTGTTTTTGTTTTAACAAATCTAAGAAATACTAAAAAAATAAATAAATAAATAAATAAAAAGTCCTCAACTTTTAAAATTATTATTTGATTGTTTTCCAAGCAATGGCATAGCACCGGAGAAAACCCTACACAGATATTTCTGATTATCTGTAGCCTAAATCATCTCGTAAAGAAGTCAGTCACTCCATCTAGGAGGACATCTCTTAGCAGATGACAGGACGTGGACCCACGGAGCTCACTCTAGGCAGTCATGTGTCATCTGATTTGCCAAAACATACAGCACTTATAAGTTCACAGATGGCCCAGAACGAAGGCTAAGATGATTGGCACCAAAACTGGGCATACAATCTTGGCAATAGCTTAAGAGATTAAAGGAAATGGAATGACATTTGAGAAAAAAAAAAAAAACCTAAAGAATAAATTATTACAGGTTTCTTTCAGAATATGAGTGTGGTAGCTCATAGTGTGGAGAAGATGGCTGGGAATAGACTTGAGCGAAGTTACTGGGCAAATACAAGAAAGGGACAACTAGAGAAGCTAGAAGCGCTCATGCCATCTTTTGATGCCAATCTGTGTTCCTTAGATTAGCTGGCTGAACAGGTGGTACTGCAGCCAGTCTAGAATACTGTACACTGAAATGACGATGACCACAACAGATCTGGAAAGTGACCACAAAAAATGCTGCTTTAATTTCCCCAGTAGGGATGACTTAGCTGGAAACAAGATGGATATCCTCAGCTCTTTGAAGGGCTTCTACCCTGTAGAAGTGAACTTGCTCTATTCTCCCCAAAGGCAAAAAAACCTACAGCCTGTGAGTTGAAGTTAGAAGCTAGTTGGCCATAATTCCATAAAATAAAGATCAGAGGAGGTCAAGTAGAATCTAGAAAAACAGCTTCACTTCAAAATTGGAACTTTTCCATAAACATCTACATTTCCTGGAGACCAAACAACTATATGGTAGACGTGCTGTCAAATGCAGTTCTGTGACTTCAAAGACCAAGCTTAACTCTTAAAAATACATGACATAGGGGGCTGGGGAGAGAGCTCAGTGGAGTAAGTGCTTGCCTGGCATGCTCAAGGTCCTGAGTTCAATCCCTGGTACCACCAAAAAAAAAAAAAAAAAAAAAAAAAAAATACATGACACAGTTGGCCTAGCCTACAAGAGCCTAACCTAAGAGAATTTGCTCATGCCTCCTGAATTGGGCAGCTGTACTCACACATCTGTCACAGCAATTCTCAAGTTGAAAGGCAACCCGTAGTATCATCTTTTGGTTGTTCTCTTCCATCCTATGCATGAACTTTCCATGAACACATATACAAACAGTGACAGTTTTATTACACCAACAATGAGAGTTTTATTTAGTTAGTTATTACCATCAGGGACTTTGACAACCACCACCTCTTGAGCCTGTCTGTTTTCACTTGACTTCTTGATATTTTCTAGTTCTGTCCAGTAGTCCTCCATAGACATTTCATCCAAGGAATCCTGGGAATTCAATCGACGGAACGGAGGTTGCTCTGTAGCTTTAGGGGTGCCTTCCTGATTCATGGCATACTGGCCATATCGGCAACTATAAATTCAAGAGAAAAGATGGCTCATTTTAGTGCAAGAGGAAGAAGTCATACAATTTTCAAAACGTAACATTGAACTGCAGAATTTGGAAACCCCTTAAATTCTCCTTAATAAAGCAAAGGAGAGACACACTTTGAAACGGTTTACCCTGGGAGGCTACTGCTTATAATATGCTTGTAGAGCAATTTGTTTCAATATTATGGTGAAAAATAGCAATACGGTAATTTACTTTTCCATGTATTTCCATTCTCTAGGATATATAAAGGGTGATAGCTCACATTACCATCAACTACTTTAAGGTTCATTTAAATCTGAAACTTTGTTTCTAAGAAAATAATAGTATAAATATTGATTATATACTAATGAATAACACTGGGAAGAGATTTCTCCAATATTTAACGTTTATCATTTACATTTATAAACCAAATTTGATCAACTCTTATATAGCAAACACCTTCCATCAGTGAATGGAATATTATTTGAATTTCCAATCCTGGAACTACCATAAAAACAGAAGGATGATTTAGTAAGTGTACTGCTATGTATTATTCTTAAAAGAGGTAAAACATTCATTTATTGTCAACTGCTCAATTATGGCAACAACAGCCTAGGATTATTGCGAACATTTATTTTACATATTACCTATAAAGAAAAGAATAAAGAGGGGCTGGGGAGATAGCTTGGCCATTTAACTGCCTGCCTGGCAAGCACAAGGACCAAGGTTCGATCCCCGGTACTGCACACCATGCCAGGAGTGGTGGTGCACGCCTGTAATTCCAGAGCTGGGGAGGCTGAAACAGCAGGATCATTATGAGGCCAAGCTGCATAGTGAGACCCTGTACCAACTAAATAAATAAATACAAAATTAGAAAAGAAATAAAGAGAACAAGAGTATTTTGTGACTTCAAGTATATTATATTTTCTTTATAAGACACATCTATTCTGCTTCTAAAGTTAAGTTACAGGCGCTTATAATAACTAGTAGAAACATTAACTTTTGTTATTTATAGAGTGATTTATAGAGTGAAAACCACACTTAATTACTTGAAAGGAAAAATCATTATTTTATGGTACCTTTCTCTTATACACAATATTGTTTAAGAAGTAAAATTTGAGTGGAAACAATAACTGGTGAAGAAGTGTTTTAATATTCCAAGTTTGAATTGCATTTTTATTTCCCAAGAAGGACCTCTAGGAAGTAATATGTTGCTACATTAGTTTTATTTCCTGTACAATTTGAAAATACAAAGAAATAAAACTTCTTAATAGTGTCTGAATGATCTCACATCTAAACTGACCTTTCTCACAATTATTTAAAGTGCTAAGATTTTAATTCTATATGAGAGAGAGGGTCACTGAATTCTGGGCATACCTACCCAGCAATTTAATTCCAACTGGTTAGAAGAAATGCAAAGAACTTAACTGCCAATTGCTGCAAATACATGCAGAAGCACTGAACAGCTGCCTGTGATAGGTTAATAGGCCGGTTTCATTCCCTTAAAGGTGATTTTCTCTGCCTTCCTGAAGCAGTTTACTAATGCTGTTGGCATGAATGAATAAACATTGGTATCATTTCTGCCTGGGAACAACCTTGGGTGGTGCTGGTGGGCATGGACCCTCACCAACAGGAATGCACAGCCGGGTCTGTGGGCCCCTTTCCTTGAGTCTTCATTGTGCACTGTTCACCTTCCCCACTCCTTCATTTAAGGGGTGCTTCCTGCCCCTCTGAGCCTCACATCTTGTGTATCTCACTGTGTCCCTCCTGGTCCCTTAGTCTGACCCAGTGATCACTACATGACCAATATTTTCTTCACACTATTTGTACTTCTGATTCTTAAAATGTGAGTAAAAAATGTTATCATTCTCTTAAAAAATGACTTAAAGTTTCTAGGAGCAGTAACTCAATGTATTTGGAGTCACAGTCCTAATCCTGCTTTACCAGAATAGTTAAAACTAGTTCATAAGCTGCCTGTCAAATTCAGTTTTGTTTTGTTTGTTTTGTGGATTGTGTGGGATTTTTTAAAGTAATTTTATTGAGAAACAGATAGCAATGAGACAGTTTCAAAACTGATCACTAGCAAAGCTTCAATAATTAATACACTGCGTATTGTCTTAGTGGTTATTCATTGTACAAGACGCAGACAGGATATCCTGTCCATGAACACTATTAGAACAAGTCTCTCTATTCAAGATCCAAGAGAATGCAGCTGTATATCTATCCTAACTATTTTGAACATACAGATACGAAATGGACATTCATTTGTATGCCCCTTTTTTGTTTAGTTTTGTCAGAGAAGGGTATTCCATGGTCATTTAAATATTATAGGTGCCTGAATTCAGTAAAACATTCCAATATAGTCCACTAGTCCATAATAGTAGTGGGTTTTCCTTAAGACTGGCAATGACAGAAGTTGTTGACTTGGCCAGGAAGATGGCTCAGTGGAATAATCGCTTGCCTGGCAGGCACAAGGGCCCGAAGTCAATCCCCTGTTTCACCAAAAAGAAAGAAGAAAAAGAAAAAAAAGAAGCTGTTGACAAGCCTTTTTTCAGCTCAGCATATTAATATGGCTTTACTTTTTATACTTTGTTTTTATACTTTTCTGCTGGATGGTTAAGAGCAAGATAAAGCAAGACCTATATAACAAGAAATGTAACTTTTGTATCTGACAAGGTCAGTCAAATCCCCTCAGGATTTATCCTGTAACCCTGTACACAGTTTGTAGATCCTTTCTGAGTGTCAGCCATGTGGATGAGTCACAGCCATTGTTTGACCAATTTGCTCTCTGTGAAAGCCTGAAAGAATCTTTTCTCTCCATGAGACTCTCCTTAGGCACACTCTACATCATCGATCACTTTCCTCTGTGGCCCCATAATCTCCTTGATCAGAAAATTTGGGACATAACTGAGTTCCATGATGTTACAGTATAGGTTCTCCTATATCCTGAGTCTTCACTGACCTTGAAAGGCTGGGACCAAAATGTTAGCTGTCCTTGCAGCCTTTCTTTTTCTCTAATTTTTGGTCTTCAAACTTCGATTGTTAACCATCCAGAAGAGAAGCTTATTAATATCATCCTACAACATAGGCAGTTCAGCCTAACCTCACTATCTGTCTGAATATCAAACATCTTAGGCATAACATGGAACAGGTATTTTCCATCCAGTATTGATATTTTAAACTTTAAGTCCCTACATTATATGAAGAAAAAAATTTAAAAATAAAAAAATTAAAAATAGGAATAAAGTTACATATTTTTACACAGAAATTTAGAAATCTAACCATATACAGTATTGTAGCAGGACAGTCTTATGACTTTTTCTTTTCTTTTCTCTTGTTTTCATTTATTACCACTTTTTTGTTTCAAACAAACATTTACTTGAAAGACAGTATGGCAGTAATTGGTATGTCATGACAAACAGTACGTATTTAGAAGACCAGAATGACAGGCATTCCAAGCATGACCCTACCATTACACATTGCTATCTTCAGTGCAGTTCCTTAGTTCACAAGTATCAGCATATATAGTTAGGCAGGGTGAGAATCCTACCAATTAACTACTAATTTCAAAAACCTGCTGCAGATTCTCAGGATCATTGCCTTACTCATCTTATGTACATAAATGTATGGCTTTGTCCCTGTCATGTTTCCTAGCTTTTCTCTTTGTCCTCTCTTTGTTGTCTAATCCTCGAGTTCTCACTTTCCTTTTAATTGTGTTATACCTTTCTATTTTTATTTCTTCTTTTGAGTTTTGTGTACTGCATAGCAAACTGTCAGGTATATAGATGGTGTGTCATTGGTTGGTTGGTTGGTTATTTATTGTTGGTGTAGTACTAGGAATTGAACCCAGGGCTTTTCCACTGAACTACATTATCCACATCTCCTGCTTTTGTTTTGTTTTGAACTCTTTATTTGAGAGAGTCTCATTAGGTTTTCCAGCTGGGGCTCAAACTTGTGATCCTCCTGCCTCATCCTGCTAGAGTGATGGGGTTTATGGCTGTGTGCCGCCATGCCTGGCCTTTACTTCTCCTTATTGGAGAACATTAGCCACCTCAGTTTTTTACCCTTGGTCCCAGAGACCCCCGGGGGAGTCCACAATAGCTCTGTGAGCTGTGTGGGGTATAATGACCAATGTCAATAATTTGGTTTATCTGCTCACTGGAAAGGGGTACAGTTGAACTAGAAATATGTTAAGCCTTTCATTCCTGAGGGAATGTGTTTATTCTGACAAGAATTTTCTAGCATATTCCCAGCAAGATAGCAAGGGCATTGAGTAACAACATTGTTACACAAAACATACTATACACGTATATCAAGCCCTGCTTTCAAAATATGCATCAAGCAAACATCTAAGGGCTTAATGCTGATGAGTAAACTCAAAATTTCAACTTTAATAAGACTGAGAACCCGAATGAGGTTTTACCACAACTAAAAAATACTGAGTCATGGATTTTTCTTTCACTCCTTGCCACCCCCACCCCCTAGGTCACAGGAAACCAAGGCAAAAATGCATTTTCCACTTACTATGCACCAGGCATCAAGTGTGAGCAGGCGGCCGTAGCCAGCTGTCTGCCTCAGTCAGCCCCCTATGCATCGCTTTTCTCCCAAAACCTAAGTGAACATTTTTGCAGGACTTAGCAGCTAGCACACTGCAGAACTTTGTCCTTCTTGGGATGGACGCCACTTCGTACTTCAGACAGTCAATGGCTAAAACTCTGGAACCTTAAAACGACCCTGGTAAGTGGCCAGTGAACGGATTTCCTCTCTCCTGCTTTCAGGCAAACGTTATTTGATACCTCGTTCATTTTGAAAATCGGATTGAAAGCCATAAAGTACATCTGCTGGATGCAGTGAACTGCGGAGTGGGGCTGTTTCACGTTTCTGAAAGGTCCCAGCCGGCGCACAGCACAGAAAGAGACGGAAGAGCACGGTTCGTACGGCAGCTGTCCACTCCTCGCCCCACCAGCCTCCCTCTCGCCCCCAGAGTCCCCTCCGCGGGCGGC